GAGAGGAGAACGAAACATTCTTTATAAGGGTGTGGAAATCTTTCTCTAGCAGACGCGTTTTAAAACCTTAAGGGGAACCCTTGAAGGAAAAGTCTAAAGAGGACAATATCTGTTAGCGGTAAGCTTGAGTTGTTACTAATTGTATCAGAGCCAGACACGAGGCGGTATGCCAACAAGGACGTTGGGCCCCGAATGGGGGTGGATTTGGGGGTCCCACATCGATTGGAGAAGAAAACGAGTGCCAACGAGGATGTTGGGGCTCAAAAGGGGGTGAATTGTGAGATCCCACATTGGTTGGAGAGGAGAACGAAACATTCTTTATAAGGGTGTGGAAACCTCTCTCTAGCAGACGCGTTTTAAAACCTTCGGGGAAAACCCGGAAGGAAAAACTCAAAAAGGACAATATCTGCTAGCAGTGGGCTTGAGCTATTACAAGAAGTCTCCGAGATTATAAACATCCTCAAGACATATATGTCTTTCCCTGCTGAAGATGCAAGAATTCTCCGAACACAGTTTGTTTTTGATGGATGTCGGTCCAATGTTTCCAAAGGTCATATTGCAGTGTACGTGGGAGAAATTCAGAGGAAGCGATTTTTAGTTCCTATATCTTACTTGAACCATCCCTCGTTTGTTGACTTGCTCGATAGGGCTGAAGAAGAGTTTGGATTCAACCATCCAACAGGAGGATTGACCATTCCTTGCAAAGAAGAAGCCTTCATTGATGTCACTTCTAGGCTGCACAGTTCATGAATGATTGAGAACAAAAAGCAACCCTGCTTTCAGTCTTGATAACCTTTCATTTTTTTCTATAGGAGATAGAGTTAAGAGTGTCATTGTAAAGGAAATTTTATACGTAGATGTGTAGACTAGAAGACGTGAAGAATTGCTGTAACAATCCAAGTCTACCGCTAGAAGATATTGTCTGTTTTGACCCGTTACTATCACGTCAGTCTCACGATTTTAAAACGCGTCTACTAGGGAGAGGTTTCTACACCCTTGTAAGAAATGCTTCGTTCCACTCTCCAACCAATGTGGGATCTCACAATCCACCCCCCTTGGGAGCCAACGTCCTCGCTGGCACACCGCTGGTGTCTGGCTCTGATATCATTTGTAACAGCCCAAGCCCACCGCTAGCAGATATTGTCCGCTTTTGCCTGTTACGTATCGCCGTCAGCCTCACAGTTTTAAAATGTGTCTACTAGGGAGAGGATTCCACACCCTTATAAAGAATGCTTCGTTCCCTTCTCCAACTGAGATGTGGGATCTCACGGAAACACACCCTCCCCTCCTGCTTGGCATTGTAGAGGAAGTCTTCCCAGCTACAAAACTAGCAATCTTGTAGTGATCACTAAGGCTTAAAATAGAACAGAGAAATAAGATTGTCACAGTGAATCAAGTTCAAGTTCCAATAAAGCTCTATGATTACATACTAAAAGCAGATAATACAAACATTTGCATGTCTAGAGCGAATAAAATAGCTCTCATAACAATGTACAGAAATCGTTCTAATGTAAGTTCTACATGCTCGAAATTGACAATCACTGAAGTCGTTCAAGCCTCTGGCCTCGATTTGAGAAGAATGTTTTAGAAAACGGCGAGAAAAAGATTTTGAAAGCAAGATTGAGAGAGATTGAAAGCAATATTATATGGCATACAAACAAAACGCAACATAACGACTTAAGTGGCTTATAACTTTTCAGGCAGGGAGAATTTGACAACTAGCCGCATCCCTCTATAGTACATTTTGAGGCGATTCAGATCTGGCAAACTAAACATGATTTCGCCGAATAGTCATACAAAATCAGGAGGAGGAGATGACAACTAGTCACACCCCCTATAGTACATTTTGGGGCAATTAAGGTTTAGCAGGCCTAGACATGATTTTGCCAAACAGTCATAAAAACAGAAAATACCGTAGTAAGACAGTACAACATGGAATTAAGTAAAGGGTTCAACGTAGCATGACCATACATTTGAACCATCCTTCATGATATTGCAATATCCATCATGATATCACTTCTAGATTGCATAGACTTGCTTACTTGAACCATCCTTCATTTGTAGACTTGCTTAGGTGCTCATGTAGGATATTGATTTTTATTGCTTAGGTGCTCAAGTTTTGGCAATGTGACACTATATTTTGAAACATTTAGTTCAATGAAACAACTAACGTGCTTAGACAATGTCTGGCGATGAATGGAACAACTTGACCTGAAAGACAGAAATTTGTGGTAAAGACATATAATCCACTTGAACATCAATTATGCTTATCAGTTGCAACAAAAGCAGCATGAATACAAGATCTCCAGAATCTAACTGGATTTGAACCAACCCAATCACAAAAGGAAAGACTTGTATATGTAAGCATTCTCTATGCAGAACTTCGAAGATCTCTAATCCACTAAGGTAAATATAAAACATAAAACATAAAACAATCCCCAAAACAATCTTCTAAATCATAAAATGGATATGGCTTATGGGTCAATGGGGTTGTTGAGTTTATGTTCTTGCAGATCATCATTGTTCATGTTTATTCTGCCTCTTTGGATTCAATGAGACATGGCTCTTTTATGAAACTTTTACAAGCCTTTCAAATTTCAACGGAAATCAGTGATATGTTGTATATGTCATGTTGCAGTTTATGTGGGAGAGACGGAATGTGTGGTTCCAATATCATACTTGAACCATCCGTCAGTCAAACCACTGCTCAAACACGCTGTATTACAGTGAAGTAGCAAGAACATGGAGATAAAAAAAACCCAACGAATTCAGGTGAATAAAATTCATGAAGGGGCACAGTGTTCTTGTAAGAAAATGTGACTATCTATTTCAATTTTGTATCTCTTTTCTGCAACTCATCATTTACATGTCGAAGCTAACTCTACATTGATGTTCTACATTTAACTATGAGAAAAAATCGAAGGGAATCTGACAAAATTGTGTGGAGGATGGTTTTTCTTCTCTCTTTCATGAAGATTGCAGCCTGGATGTGAGATTGATGAACACATCTTCTCTGCAAGGAATTGTAAGACCTCCAGTTGGATGTTTAAATTCAAATTCTTCTTCGGCACGGTTGAGCAAAGCAGAAAAAGAAGGATGGTTTAAGTATGCTATTGGAACTACAAATCTTTTTCTTTCGATATCTCCCACATAAACTGCAATATGGCCTTTGGGAACACCACACCGGTTTCTAGAAGAAGCGGTATGCATTTTGACAGCTTGCTTGGCATTGAGAAGAAGTGAAGGTAGTCTGATTCCCATGTCTAGAAAGGTTTTCCGGTCGATGCAGATCAAGTTGGAAAGTGTAGTACTTGAATGAAGATGTTCTTGAAATTTGAGTTGGAGATTGAAGTTTATTTGAACCGTATTTATGGATTCAGAACGGGAAAGTGGTGAGAAGAAAACAGTATCAAGTTGGTGTTTAGGAGGGCCTACTTCATAAATGCTCACATGGGTTGCTTATTTGGTTTGAATAGACGCACCTCATCATGTGCCCTAACAAACTAGTGAGCAGTCCCATTTGTTACAATGAGGTGCAGTTATAGTCCAAAATAACAGGTCGAGAAAACTTCGAAACCAAATGCCATGTCGTGGTAGATCAACTTACAGTGGGTCCATGTTGCAAGCTTACACCATCAGTCATTGGCTGCATCTCTGATAATAGACTATACAGAACAATAAATGAGATGCCAATCCATTTGTAAATTTTTCTCAGACACAAGAATAATGCTTGTCTGAAGCTTGCTATGATCTTAAAGGTTTACCATTTAGAATTGTATAATACATGTTTGCTGGTTATGTCCCTTTTCACCACTCAATTTATTTTCTTGGTATGTTTTGTTCGTAGCATCCTGTGCCTGATATTATAGGAAGAGCCTATAAAGTTGTTTACACAAACTTAATATTTTCTGTTCTGTTTTTAGTGTTTTGAGAAATTCTTGTATCTTATGTTTTCTCCCCTTATGGGATACCAAAAGATAAGGGGACCTTCTCCAGTTTATGTTGATTCAAATTTGACTTCCACTTGTCGAAAGGTTCAATGCATCGAAGTCTAGAGATGAGGCCATGAGTTATTGTTGGGGGAAACCAGAGAGGTAGTTCTTGATTCAAGCTTCATTCTTAAACCAGCTGCTGTTCTAGTATTTGGTTGGCTATGTAGGAATTCATCCAACACATGGAATGGTTTAGAAATATGCATAGCAGGAATCTCAGATTTTCGTACAAGGATCAACAGACTTGAAAGAGGTTGCATGGTCATACCATGGATTAAGATTGATAAAGCTAGTAACCTGCCATCAAAGGCTAGCACGATTACTTTGGGCCGAGAGGAAGAGTTATTAACCGAGTGTTGGACTTGCTAAAAGATTAAGAAGCTACATATGTTTGTCCTATATTCTATCTATTTGTGAAGAATCTCATTTTCAGAGTTGAGGAAGAAAGCTGAAGCACCGTATGAGAGATGGGTAGACATTGTTGAATTGTGAAAAGAAAAAAACAAAGTTGGATGGATGTCATCTGGTGCTCCTAATGATAAGTATGGAGAAAGGTTTACCGAGCGCTTTCGTGTCTTAAATGGTAGGAAATACTAAGCTCCAAATGATCATTTTGTGCTACTAGTGATCAGTATAGAGAAAAGGTTCAAATCTGAGCTGAATTTGAACCAATCCAATGACAAAAGGAAAGACGCAGTTGTGCCAAATGATCAAAGGGATTATACGCTGAATTTTTAATTGGTTCAAAAACCTGACAAGATATGTGTTCTGGTGTAAACCTGATATATTAAATCTGATCATATTTAGATGCTCACAATAAACAAGTCAACGTGCTCGAGGCTGAAAACGATCGTAGAACTTTGTGGATGATTTATGCCTCTAAGAATTGGCATTTTTTGACTAAGCTATGTACTTTGACTTGGGCTTTTTGTTCTCCTTAATGAGAACCATTCTTTGCTATGGTCCATAATTTGGTACATATAAGGCCTGCAGAGTCTCCTTTGACCTAGACATTGACGTAGCTGGTCACTCTCTCATGGAAAGCCAATCACATGGAGGTTCTGTTCTTCCATTTTCAACGTAATGCACTCTGTCTGTAAGCATTTAATTCAGTGTAAAAGCTTGGACAATGATTTGACTTTTCATGATCGAACAACTTAGCCAATGAAAATGGAAATTTGTGGTGTAACTGCGGAGAATGTGAAGAGAGACAGAGAAGGAAATTGGTGTGTCTTTTCTAAGTTGAACAAAACCATGTGAAGTGACCCACTCAAATACCTAACCATCAGACTTCAATACCCCACTTTGCCATTTGAATTCCATCGCTCACAGCATAACTCTTTCTTCCAAAACTCTATAAATTTGAACATCAAATGAGCCTTCAAACACCAAATTCAACTCATTCCTAGTGTTCTACACTAATCAGATCAAAGCTTTAGACTTTTCTCAGTCTTTCATCTCAAGCAAATGGGTATTCGATTGCTATCCTTGGTTCCTCATGCCAAGCAGATCCTAAAGATGCAGTCAGGTTTTACCAAAAGTCAGCTGGATGTGCCAAAAGGTCATGTGGCTGTTTATGTGGGAGAGATCCAAAGAAAGCGGTTCGTGGTTCCAATTTCTTACTTAAACCATCCATCATTCCAAAAGCTACTCAGCCATGCAGAAGAAGAGTTTGGCTTCCATCATCCACAAGGGGGTCTAACAATTCCTTGCAAGGAGGATGCCTTCGTTGATCTCACCTCTAGACTGCACGTATCTTGAAGGATGCAGAAGAAAGGACAATCATATGCCATTTTTGACAATTTTTTCCGACTCATTTTACTTTTCGACACATACTAGAGTGTTGTAGAGTGGGAAACCTTCCTACCTGTAAATGAGTTGGCATTGTAAAGTTACTTATACCACAGGATTAATGAAAATAGACCGATTCAACATCAACTTCTGTATATCATTTTTTCTGCTAATCTGTGCTTTCCAACTTCAAACGTTAAACTGATCTGAACAAAATTGGTGTCCTGTGCTAATTTATGAACTACTCTAATATAGACAATCCTAAATCTATCTGTGTAGCAACTCTTTAGTGAATATGTTATTCAGTAACTATACAGTGTTGTGGTAGAGCAGTCTCATCTGTTCATCAAAAGTCCGAAGATAGAAATTATAGCATAGCAGATGTTAAATTTTATCATAGATGAAGTTTGTCCCACTCATGGATTTTGAGATATCTAACTTCCTTGTGTGTTGTCCGATTTCTTACTCGATCTTCAAAGCAGACTGACTTCTCCTACTCCTCCTCCTTTAGGATAGGATCGTCGTTGGTCATTCTTTCGCTAATGATCTAATGAGCTTTCACTAATGATCTAATGAGGTCACTATTTGATAGTCATTCGCGCAAACGCGCGAGGGACGAGACTTTCTATTGCTTGTTTTTCACTACCAAGACAATGGTCTCTCTCATCTATAAGCAAGACAATGACGCTGAACTGAAGAAAGCTCAATGTGAAAGAAGCAAAAGATCCACTTCCGCCACGAAAGGAGAGATTCGTAAATATCCAGTTTAAAAAGTATATAGAACTTTCGTTTGAATTTCCTGCAACAATCAGGATTTGACACAACAAGGAACTGAAAATATTGTAGTGGGAACATCATAATTCTATCCGACATCTTTCCCTCACCAATGGACAGCTAGTTCCAGCTATAGAAGTTGCTTGAAGTGGATAAAACTACTACATTTAACAAATATAAACATGATTAGATTCTGTATCCTTTGATTTGCAATAAGATGCATTTGATGTCTCTCTTGTTCTTATTCAACAAGGGCACTATGCCAATGATGTAACCATTTCTTTCTTACTGTGAAAGTGATCTCCTTGATATCTTGTTTTTTTCTTTATTCGAGCATCCAGTTCAGCTAACCAAGCTTGGTCGCTGGAATGGATAATGACTTGAACCAAACAACTGGGCTGGCATTGCATACAACCAAGAGAGAGGTGAAAAATCTTTTATAAGTTGGGAAGATCCCTAATAGTCCTCTTAGATACCTAACCACCAGTCTTAAAGTGCCCATTGGAAAAGCACCAACCATCAGCAAAACTATTTTCATGAACTATAAATAAGGATATCGAGTAAACTTTAAAACAGTCATTTACTACTTCCTCTTCAAATTTGTTCCACATCAATTGAAACAGCAAGCTTAGTAATGGGAATCTTTCCATTCCAGATTCTTTTTGTCAAGCAAATTCTAAAATGCCATCAGATTTCACCAAAAACCCGTATGTTTCAAAAGGTCATGTAGCATACGAAATGATTTGTGGTTCCGATATCATACTTGAATCATCCTTCATTCTAAAAGCTCCTTATGTATGCCGAGGAAGAGTTTGTATTCCGTCATCCTCAGGTTGTCAAACAATTCCTGGCAAAAAAGATGTCTTTCTTGATTTCATTTCTAGATTGGAAGTTTCTTAAAGATGAATGAAGAGGCAAAAGAAAATTCACCAAGTTTTGACACTTTTGCCCCTTGTTTTTTTGACTCGTTTATGAACTAAGATTAAAATGTTACAGGAAATCCAAGAACAAATCCTTCCAAAATGTTAACAAACGACTCTGATAAATTCTATGTCATGTAAGCCAAGTATCTTCTTGCTACTGATATATGACTAAATAGGCAGAAATGATAGAATAGTCACGATTTAGTGTTGCATTGAAACAGTTGTTAGTAATTGAAACAGTAAAATTATGACTATCAAATACATGCCTATGGTAGGGGCCTTCAGTTTCAATTAAGAAAATATGGTTCACATATGGGGGATTGAAAAAGATTAAATTTATCCAAACCTGTTTATCCTTTTTCTGCTCAAATGAGCATCGTTAGGGAACACAGCTAATACACTTTGCATTTTCATGGTCATTCATTTATTCAAGAAAAACCTTTGTGCTCAGCTGAATTCAAGTGAAGTAGCAAGAACATGAAGATGAAAAACCATTCAGGAGAATAAAATTCATGAAGGGGCACAGTGTTCTTGTAAGAAAATGTGATTATCTATTTCAATTTTCTATCTCTTTTCTGCTACTCAACATTTACATGTAGAAGCTAACTCTACATTGATGTTCTACATTTAACTATGTGAAAAAATCGAAGGGAATCTGACAAAATTGTGAGGAGGATTGTTTTTCTTCTCTCTTTCAGCAAGATTGCAGCTTGGATGTGAGATTGATGAAGACATCTTCTCTGCAAGGAATTGTAAGACCTCCAGTTGGATGTTTAAATCCAAATTCTTCTTCGGCACGGTTGAGCAAAGCAGAAAAAGAAGGATGGTTTAAGTATGCTATTGGAACTACAAATCTCTTTGTCTCAATATCTCCCACATAAACTGCAATATGGCCTTTGGGAACGCCACACCGGTTTCTGGAAGAAGCGGTATGCATTTTGACAGCTTGCTTGGCATTGAGAAGAAGTGAAAGTAGTCTGATTCCCATTTTCCGCTCGATGCAGATCAAAAAGTTGGGAAGTGTAGTTCTTGAATGAAGATGTGCTTGAAATTTGAGTTGGAGATTGAAGTTTATTTGAACCGTATTTATGGATTCAGAACGGAGAAGTGGTGAGAAGAAAACAGTATCAAGTTGGTCTTTAGGATGGCCTACTTCATAAATGCTCACATTGGTTGCTTATTTGGTTTGAATAGACGCACTTCATCATGTGCCCTAACAAACCATTGAGCAGTCCCATTTGCTCCAATGAGGTGCAGTTATAGTCCAAAAGGGAAAGTACAACGTTCTGAGGATTAATTGTTGCTCCATTTGTTTGTGAACTAATGGAAACAGTTGGACTATGACTTGACTTGTGATGAATGGAAACAATTGACCAATGAGCCTGAAATTAGTGGTATGAATTTCAGAGAATGTGCTGTGAGAGAAGAAAATTGGGTGCCTTTTTCTGAGATGAGGCAAAGCCATGTGAAGGGGTATTCTCAAATATACCCAACTACCAGACATCAGTACCCCACTTAGCCACTGGAATGGTCGGAGTCATCAGCATAGCATTTCCTTCTGAAATATTATAAATATAAACATCAAAATGAGCCTTCAAACACCACCCTCAACTCATTTCAACTTCTACTTCCTCTTCTAGTTAGCTCTATACCAATCAGATCAGAACACTAGACCGACTTCCTTTCGTTCGAGAAAATGGGGATTCGGTTGCTATCTTTGGTTCCTCATGCCAAGCAAATTCTAAAGATGCAGTCAAGTTTCACCAAAAACCAGTTGGACGTTCCAAAAGGCCATGTGGCTGTTTATGTGGGAGAGATCCAAAGGAAACGATTCGTGGTTCCGATATCTTACCTAAACCATCCATCGTTCCAGAAACTGCTCGGTCATGCCGAGGAGGAGTTTGGCTTCCATCATCCACAAGGAGGCCTAACAATTCCTTGCAGGGAAGATGCCTTTGTTGATCTCACTTCTAGATTGCAAGTTTCTTGAAGGATCAACAGCAAAGCACAAGCTTAAATTTTTTGACAAACATTTCTGTTTGTTTCTGACACATTTGTTTTTTTGATTCATACTAGAATGTTGTAGAATGGCATACCCTTCTTGCCTGCAAATGAGTGGCATTGTAATGGTGCATTTAGCAACAGAAATGAATAAGAAAAAAATACACAAATTTAACATCAATTTCTATATAGCTTTCTCTTTGTTGCTTTATTTGTGATGGTAACCTGCAATCCATGGAACAATGAAAAATTGTTGATGGAGCATAGCACATCACTAAAGAAACTAAGCAGCATCTTGAAGATTCAAACTTCTAAGTTCAAACAGATCCAAAGCAAACTGAATCCTTATGTGCCAATTTAAAATTTTCTACGGTAAATATTAATCTTGGTTTGATCTAATGAACAAAAGTTTTTATCCATCCTATGTGCCACCTCCTGTTACTATTAGACATGGGAATCCAGTTGCCTTTGATACTCCTCGATGCCAAGCAAGTTCTCAAAAAGCAAGCTATTTCTACAACAAACCAATCTGACGTTCCGAAGGGTCACGTTGCAGTCTATGACGGAGAAATCGAAAGGAAGCGGTTTCAGTTCCGAAACCATACTTAAACTATTCTACATTCGTGACTTTACTTAAAGAGGACTGAGGAAGAGTTTAGATACAATGATCCTATGGGGTTTGACAATCCCTGCAGAGAAGATGCCTTCGTTAATCTCACTTCTACGCTACATAGCTTTTGAAAGATTATGTACAGATAGAAATCCCTAACATTCTTTTGTTCATTTTTAGTTAGAAAAACTCTTCTTGAAACTGAAGGGATAGAAAAGGAGGTTAATTACCCTCCAATCGACACAGTATCGAGCCCATATGAAGATAGGGGAAACCCAACTTTTCATAGGTTCAAAAACCATACAAGATATGTGTTCTGGTGTAAACCTGATATATTAAATCTGACAATATTTAGATGTGCATGCTTTATGCTCACAATAAACAAGTCAACATACTTGGGCTGAAAATGATGGTAGAACTTTGTGGATGATTTATGCCTCTAAGAGTTAGCATTTTTTGACTAAGCTATGTACTTTGACTTGGTCTTTTAGTTTTCGTTAATGAGAACCATTCTTTGATAGGGTCCACAATTTGGTACATATAAGGCCTGCAGAGTCTCCTTTGACCTAGACATTGACGTAGCTGGTCACTCTCTCATGGAAAGCCAATCACATGGAGGTTCTGTTCTTCCATTTTCAACGTAATGCACTCTGTCTGTAAGCATTTAATTCAGTGTAAAAGCTTGGACAATGATTTGACTTTTCATGATCGAACAACTTAGCCAATGAAAATGGAAATTTGTGGTGTAACTGCGGAGAATGTGAAGAGAGACAGAGAAGGAAATTGGTGTGTCTTTTCTAAGTTGAACAAAACCATGTGAAGTGACCTAATCAAATACCTAACCATCAACTTCAATACCCCAGTCGACCATTTGAATACCATCGCTCACAGCACAACTCTTTCTTCCAAAACTCTATAAATTTGAACATCAAATGAGCCTTCAAACACCAAATTCAACTCATTCCTAGTGTTCTTCACCAATCAGATCAAAGCTTTGGACTTTTCTCAGAGTCTTTCATCTCTAGCAAATGGGGATTCGATTGCTATCCTTGGTTCCTCATGCCAAGCAGATCCTAAAGATGCAGTCAGGTTTTACCAAAAGTCAGTTGGATGTGCCAAAAGGCCATGTGGCTGTTTATGTAGGAGAGATTCAAAGAAAGCGGTTTTTGGTTCCAATTTCTTACTTAAACCATCCATCATTCCAAAAACTACTCAGCCATGCAGAGGAAGAGTTTGGCTTCCATCATCCACAAGGGGGTCTAACAATTCCTTGCAAGGAGGATGCCTTCATTGATCTCACCTCTAGATTGCAAGTATCTTGAAGGATGCAGAAGAAAGGACAATCATATGCCATTTTTTACAAATTTTTTTCCGACTCATTTACTTTTCGACACATGCTAGAGTGTTGTAGAGTGGGAAACCTTCCTACCTGTAAATGAGTTGCATTGTAAAGATACATTTACTGACAGAATTAATGAAAAATAGATCAATTCACCATCAATTTCTATATCGTATTTTCTGGTGATTTGTGATTGCTAATCTGAGGTTTTGGGGAGAGAGAAAACTTGTTACTAAATTATTATATACCAAAAAAGAAACTGAATAACACATTGACCGGCATCAAACATTCTACAAGTTCATACAGATTTCCCCAGAAATCTGTAATATGTTTCAAAGGGTAATGTGGGAGAGACGGAGGGAAAACAGTTTGTGTTTCCAATATCATACTTGAATCATCCTTCATTCCAACCACTGCTCAAACACGCTGAGGAAGAGTTTGTATTCCATCATCATCAGGATGTCAAACAAATCCTTGCAAAAAGGATGTCTTTCTTGATTTCACTTCTAGATTGGAAGTTTCTTAAAGATGAGGGGAAAGAAAATTCACCAAGTTTTGAACATTTTCCTTGTTTTCTTGACTCGTTTATGAACTTGGATTAAAATGTTGCAGGAAATCCAAGAACAATTCCTTCCAGAATGTTAACGAATAACATTGATAAATTCTATGTCCTGTCAGCCAAGTATTTTCTTGCTACTGAAATCTGACTAAATAGGCAGAAATGATAGAATAGTCACGATTTAGTGTTGCATTGAAACCGCTGTTAGTACTTGAAACAGTAAAATTATGACTATCAAATACATGCCTATGGTAGGGGCGGTCTTCAGTTTCAACTAAGAAAAATATGATTTTCACATAAGAGGGATTAAAAAAGATTAAACTTATTCAAACCTATTTATCCTTGTTCTTCTCTTATTATCATCGTTAGAGACCAAGTAAAACATTTTGCACTTTCATGGTATTCAGTTATTCAAGACAATGTTTTGAGCTCAGCAGTATTCAAGTGAAGTAGCATGAAAATGGAGATGAAAAACCCAACGAATTCAGGTGAATAAAATTCATGAAGAGGCACAGTGTTCTTGTAAGACAATGTAACTGTCTATTTCAATTTTGTATCTCTTTTCCGCTACTCATCATTTACATATAGAAGCTAACTCTACATTGATGTTCTACACTAAACTATGGGAAAAAAATCGAAGGGAATCTGACAAAATTGTGTGGAGGATGGTTTTTCTTCTCTCTTTCATGAAGATTGCAGCCTGGATGTGAGATTGATGAACACATCTTCTCTGCAAGGAATTGTAAGACCTCCAGTTGGATGTTTAAATCCAAATTCTTCTTCTGCACTGTTGAGCAAAGCAGAAAAAGAAGGATGGTTTAGGTATGCTATTGGAACTACAAATCTCTTTCTCTCAACATCTCCCACATAAACTGCAATATGGCCTTTGGGAACGCCACACCGGTTGCTGGAAGAAGCGGTATGCATTTTGACAGCTCGCTTGGCATTGAGAAGAAGTGAAGGTAGTCTGATTCCCATGTCTAGAAGGGTTTTCCGCTCAATGCAGATCTAGAAGTTGGAAAGTGTAGTACTTGAGTGAAGATCTTCTTGAAATTTGAGTTGGAGATTGAAGTTTATTTGAACCATATTTATGGATTCAGAACGGGGAAGTGGTGAGAGGAAAACAGTATCAAGTTGGTCTTTAGGATGGCCTACTTCATAAATGCTCACATTGGTTGCTTATTTGGTTTGAATAGACGCACTTCATCATGTGCCCTAACAAACCATTGAGCAGTCCCATTTGCTCCAATGAGGTGCAGTTATAGTCCAAAAGGGAAAGTACAACGTTCTGAGGATTAATTGTTGCTTCATTTGTTTGTGAACTAATGGAAACAGTTGGACTATGACTTGACTTGTGATGAATGGAAACAATTGACCAATGAGCCTGAAATTAGTGGTATGAATTTCAGAGAATGTGCTGTGAGAGAAGAAAATTGGGTGCCTTTTTCTGAGATGAGGCAAAGCCATGTGAAGGGGTATTCTCAAATATACCCAACTACCAGACATCAGTACCCCACTTAGCCACTGGAATGGTCGGAGTCATCAGCATAGCATTTCCTTATATAAATATAAACATCAAAATGAGCCTTCAAACACCACCCTCAACTCATTTCAACTTCTACTTCCTCTTCTAGTTAGCTCTATACCAATCAGATTAGAACATTAGACAGACTGCCTTTCGTTCGAGAAAATGGGGATTCGGTTGCTATCTTTGGTTCCTCATGCCAAGCAAATTCTAAAGATGCAGTCAAGTTTCACCAAAAACCAGTTGGACGTTCCAAAAGGCCATGTGGCTGTTTATGTGGGAGAGATCCAAAGGAAACGATTCGTGGTTCCGATATCTTACCTAAACCATCCATCGTTCCAGAAACTGCTCGGTCATGCCGAGGAGGAGTTTGGCTTCCATCATCCACAAGGAGGCCTAACAATTCCTTGCAGAGAAGATGCCTTTGTTGATCTCACTTCTAGATTGCAAGTTTCTTGAAGGATCAAGAGCAAAGCACAAACCTAAATTTTTTGACAAACATTTCTGTTTGTTTCTGACACATTTGTTTTTTTGATTCATACTAGAATGTTGTAGAATGACATGCCCTTCTTGCCTGCAAATGAGTGGCATTGTAATGGTGCATTTAGCAACAGAAATGAATAAGAAAAAAATACACAAATTTAACATCAATTTCTATATAGCTTTCTCTTTGTTGCTTTATTTGTGATGGTAACCTGCAATCCATGGAACAATGAAAAATTGTTGCTAGAGCATAGCACATCACTAAAGAAACTAAGCAGCATCTTGAAGATTCAAACTTCTAAGTTCAAACAGATCCAAAGCAAACTGAATTCTTATGTGCCAATTTAAAATTTTCTACGGTAAATATTAATCTTGGTTTGATCTAATGAACAGAAGTCCTTATCCATCCTATGTGCCACCTCCTGTTACTACTATTAGACATGGGAATCCAGTTGCCTTTGATACTCCTCAATGCCAAGCAGGTTCTGAAAAAGCAAGCTATTTCTACAACATACCAATCTGATGTTCCAAAGGGTCACGTTGCAGTCTATGACGGAGAAATCGAAAGGAAGCGGTTTCAGTTCCGAAACCATACTTAAACTATTCTACATTCATGACTTTACTTAAGAGGACTGAGGAAGAGTTTAGATACAATCATCCTACGGGGGGTTTCCCAATCCCTGCAGAGAAGATGCCTTCTTTGATCTCACTTCTAGGCTACATTGCTGTTGAAAGATTATGTACAGATAGAAATTCCTAACATTCTTTTGTTCATTTTTAGTTAGAAAAAATCTTCATGAAACTGAAGGGATAGAAAAGGTGGTTAATTACCCTCTAATTGACACAGTATCAAGCTAGAGTAGTCTAATAAGGAAGAATCTTTGTTTAAAGCTTCACATCCTAGTGCCCAGCCAGCCAGATGAGGAAGATATGCCGATAGTTGCTCTTTGGTAGCCCATTTCGAGTTCGTGATTGTAAGATCAAGTATGGATCAGAAAGCCTCAATTTTACCAGAACATTATAACATGTATAAAATTATATTGTAACATGAATTATGAGATATAAGTTCTTTGAATTTTCTTATTTTATCATGCAACAAGACATTTGACAAAACTCAAGCACAAAGAATTTATCATAAAAATAAGATTTCTATTTCTATCCGGTTCTCAAGAAAGAGGCAAAAATTCTGCTTAGGCAAGTTAGAAAATGTAAAACGAAATAAGAGGATGTTTGAAGATGAGAGCTTTTCTTGGATCAACCATTTTGAATTAGCTCATTTTAAGACTTCTTTTTGGTGTTCTCTACTAATCTTTTTCTTCTCTTATGAGCATCGTTAGAGTAACACTTTGCATTTCATGGTATTCATTTATTTAAGAAAAACCTTTGTGCTCAGCTGTATTCAAGTAAAGTAGCAAGAACATGGAGATGAAAAACCCAACGAATTTACGTGAAAAAAATTCATGAAGGGGCAGTGTTCTTGAAAGAAAATGTGACTATCTATTTCAATTTTGTATCTCTTTTACACTACTCATCATTTACATTTAGAAGCTAACTCTACATTGATGTTCTACATTTAACTATGGGAAAAAATTGAAGGGAATCTGGCAAAACTGTGTGGAGGATTGTTATTCTTCTCTCTTTCAGGAAGATTGTAGCTTGGATGTCAGATTGATGAAGACATCTTCTCTGCAAGGAATTGTAAGACCTCCAGTTGGATGTTTAAATCCAAATTCTTCTTCTGCACTGCTGAGCAAAGCAGAAAAAGAAGGATGGTTTAGGTATGCTATTGGAACTACAAATCTCTTTCTCTCAATATCTCCCACATAAACTGCAATATGGCCTTTGGGAACGCCACATCGGTTGGAAGAAGCGGTATGCATTTTGACAGCTTGCTTGGCATTGAGGAGAAGTGAAGGTAGTCTGATTCCCATGTTTAGTTTTGAAAAGTTTTCCGCTCGATGGAAAGTGTAGTGCTTGAATGAAGATGTTCTTGAAATTTGAGTTGGAGATTGAAGTTTATTTGAACCGTATTTATGGATTCAGAACGGGGAAGTGGTGAGAAGAAAACAGTATCAAGTTGGTCTCTAGGAGGGCCTACTTCATAAATGCTCACATGGGTTGCTTATTTGGTTTGAATAGACGCACTTCATCGTGTGCCCTAACAAACTAGTGAGCAGTCCCATTTGTTCCAATGAAGTGCAGTTATAGTCCAAAATAACAGGTCGAGAAAACTTTGAAACCAAATGCCATGTCGTGGTAGATCAACCTACAGTGGGTCCATGTTGCAAGCTTACACCATCAGTCATTGGCTGCATCTCTGATAATAGACTATACAGAACAATAAATGAGATGCCAATCCATTTGTAAATTTTTCTTTCAGACATAAGAATAATGCTTGTCTTAAACTTGCTATGATCTTAAAGGTTTACCATTTAGAATTGTCTAATACATGTTAGCTTGTGTGTATTAAGAGATGTGCATAATGCTTCTCCATAGGTCTTACTTATCCATTACAAGGAGTCAAATTCATTTCCTAGCTCATGAATGATCTTTGTCTCAATTGGTCTATTCATGTCCCTTTCTCCACTCACTTTATTTTCCTGGTATGTTTTGTTCGTAGCATCCTGTGCTGATATTATAGAAATAGCCTATAAAAATGTATTCACAAACTTCATATTTTCTGTTCTGTTTCTAGTGTTTTGAGAAATTCTTGTATCTTATGTTTTCTCCCCTCATGGGATACCAAAAGATAAGGGGACCTTCTCCAGTTTATGTTGATTCAAATTTGACTTCCACTTGTCGAAAAGTTCAATGCATCGAAGTCTATGGATGTGGCCATGAGCTATTGTTGGGGAAAACAAGAGAGATAATTCTTGATTCAAGCTTCATTTTTAAACCAGCTGCTCTTTTAGTTTTTGGTTGGCTATACAGGAATTCATCCAAGACATAGAATGGTTGAGAAATTTGCATAGCAGAAATCTCAGTTTTTCGTACATAGATCAACAGACTTGAAAGAGGTTGCATGGTCTTGCCACAGCTTAAGATTGATAAAGTTGGTGGCCTGCTCTCCAAGGCTAGCACAATTACTTTGGGTCCAGAGGAAGAGTTATTAACAGACTGCTGGACTTGCTTAAAGGTTGAGAAGCTACATATGTTTGTCCCCTAGATTCTATCAATTTGTGCAGAATCTAGTACTCAGAGTTGAGGAAGAAAGATGAAGCACCGTATGAGAGATAGGTAGACATTTTTGAATTGTGAAAAAATCTAAGTTGGATGGATGTCATTTTGTGCTCCTAACGATCAGTATGGAGAAAGGTTTACTAAGCGCTCTATGTCTTAAATGGTAGGAAATACTAAGCTCCAAATGATCATTTTGTGCTCCTAGTGATCAGTATAGAGAAAAGATTCAGATCTAAGCTGGATTTGAACCGATCAAATGACAAAAGGAAAGACTTAGGTGTGGCAAATGATTACAAGTTCTTTCAGACTCATTGTAATAATCCTCATATTTCATTGCCTATTGAGTCTTCTTTCAAATGAGCAATAGCCTGTTTTTTGCGGGATGTCTTATAGCATGACCACTTATACTTGCACACCATAATAATGAGACATCTGTTCACCCTGCTACTATCTGGTCTCAATATTGTGGTTTTTGCTTATATATAGCTACCAAGAATTTGCTCAAGTATGCCAAGAGTGAGGCCACAAAATATGTCTTGGTTGCATAGTACAGTGATGCCACACCGTCAGGTGATCGTATTAGAACTCCTCTTCTGTTTGACTTGGCAGTTCCTAATGATGGTAGAACTTTGTGGATGATTTATGCCTCTAAGAGTTGGCATGTTTTGACTAAGCTATGTAGTTTGACTTGGGCTTTTTGTTCTCCTTAATGAGAACCATTCTTTGATATGGTCCACAATTTGGTACATATAAGGCCTGCAGAGTCTCCTTTGACCTAGATATTGAGTCCAACGACGTAGCAGGTCACTCTCTCATGGAAAGCCATTCACATGGAGATTCTGTTCTTCCATTTTCAACATAATACACTCTGTCTGTAATCATTTAATTCAGTGTAAAAGCTTCAACAATGATTTGACTTTTCATAATCGAACAACTTAGCCAATGAAAATGGAAATTTGTGGTGTAACAGCGGAGAATGTGAAGAGAGAGAGAGAGAAGGAAATTGGTGTGTCTTTTCTAAGTTGAACAAAACCATGTGAAATGGCCTACTCAAATACCTAACCAACAGACTTCAATACCCCACCTTGCCATTTGAACACCATCGCTCACAGCATAACTCTTTCTTCCAAAACTCTATAAATTTAAACATCAAATGAGCCTTCAAACACCAAATTCAACTCATTCCTAGTGTTCTTCACCAATCAGATCAAAGCTTTGGACTTTTCTCAGAGTCTTTCATCTCTAGCAAATGGGGATTCGATTGCTATCCTTGGTTCCTCATGCCAAGCAGATCCTAAAGATGCAGTCAGGTTTTACCAAAAGTCAGTTGGATGTGCCAAAAGGCCATGTGGCTGTTTATGTAGGAGAGATTCAAAGAAAGCGGTTTTTGGTTCCAATTTCTTACTTAAACCATCCATCATTCCAAAAACTACTCAGCCATGCAGAGGAAGAGTTTGGCTTCCATCATCCACAAGGGGGTCTAACAATTCCTTGCAAGGAGGATGCCTTCATTGATCTCACCTCTAGATTGCAAGTATCTTGAAGGATGCAGAAGAAAGGACAATCATATGCCATTTTTGACAATTTTTTTTGACTCATTTACTTTTCGACACATGCTAGAGTGTTGTAGAGTGGGATACCTTCCTAACTATAAATGAGTTGCATTGTAAAGATGCATTTACCGACAGAACTAATGAAAAATAGATCAATTCAGCATCAATTTCTGTATCTTATTTTCTGGTGATTTGTGATTGCTAATCTGAGCTTTTGGGGAGAGAGAAAACTTGTTACTAAAATTATTATATACCAAAAAAAAAAAAAAAATGAATAACATATTGAAACTTCAAACATTAAACATAACTAAACAAAAATGAACTGCATCAAACATTCTACAAGTTCACTCAGATTTCACCAGAAATCTGTTATATGTTCCAAAAGGTAATGTGGGAAAGACGGAAGGCAAACTGTTTATGTTTCCAATATCATACTTGAATCATCCTTCATTCCAACCGCTGCTTAAACACGATGAGGAAGAGTTTGTATTCCATCATCCTCAAGGTCGTCAAACAATTCCTTGCAAAAAGAATGTGTTTCTTTATTTCACTTCTAGATTGGAAGTTTATTCAAGATGAAGAGTCGAAAGAAAATTCACCAAGTTTTGGCAGTTTTTCCCCTGTTTTCTTGACTCGTTTATGAACTTATATTAAAATGATGCAGGAAATCCAAGAACAATTCCTTCCAGAATGTTAACAAATAACACTGATAAATTCTATGTCATGTCAGCCTAGTATTTTCTTGCTACTGACATCCGACTAAATAGGCAGAAATGATTTTGTAGTCCTAATTTAGTGTTTTATTGAAACAGTAAAATTATGATTATCAAATACATGCCTATGGTAGGGGCCTTCAGTTTCAACTAAGAAAAATATGATTGTCACATAAGAGGGATTAAAAAAGATTAAACTTATTCAAACCTACTTATCCTTTTTCTTCTCTTATTATCGTCGTTAGAGACCAAGTAAAACATTTTGCACGTTCATGGTATTCATTTATTCAAGAAAATGTTTTGTGCTCAGCTGTATTCAAGTGAAGTAGCATAAAAATGGAGATGAAAAAACCCAACGAATTCAGGTGAATAAAATTCATGAAGGGGCACAGTGTTCTTGTAAGAAAATGTGACTGTCTATTTCAATTTTGTATCTCTTTTCTGCTACTCATCATTTACATATAGAAGCTAACTCTACATTGATGTTCTACGCTTAACTATGGGAAAAGATCGAAGGGAATCTGACAAAATTGTGTGGAGGATTGTTTTTCTTCTCTCTTTCAGCAAGATTGCAGCCTGGATGTCAGATTGATGAAGACATCTTCTCTGCAAGGAATTGTAAGACCTCCAGTTGGATGTTTAAATCCAAATTCTTCTTCTGCACTGCTGAGCAAAGCAGAAAAAGAAGGATGGTTTAGGTATGCTATTGGAACTACAAATCTCTTTCTCTCAATATCTCCCACATAAACTGCAATATGGCCTTTGGGAACGCCACACCGGTTTCTGGAAGAAGCGGTATGCATTTTAACAGCTTGTTTGGCATTGAGAAGAAGTGAAGGTAGTCTGATTCCCATGTCTAGAAAGGTTTTCCACTTGATGCAGATGTAGAAGTTGGAAAGTGTAGTACTTGAATGAAGATGTGCTTGAAATTTGAGTTGGAGATTTCAGTTTATTTGATATGTATTTATGGATTCAGAACGGGGAAATGGTGAGAAGAAAACAGTATCAAGTTGGTCTCTAGGAGGGCCTACTTCATAAATGCTCACATGGGTTGCTTATTTGGTTTGAATAGATGCACTTCATCATGTGCCCTAACAAACTAGTGAGCAGTCCCATTTGTTCCAATGAGGTACAGTCATAGTCCAAAATAACAGGTCGAGAAAACTTTGAAACCAAATGCCATGTCGTGGTAGATCAACTTACAGTGGGTCCAGGTTGCAAGCTCACACCATCGGTCATTGGCTGCATCTCTGATCCAATCCAGAGGAAAAATATATATTAGAGGGACAGAAACAGGAATAAATTCTTGTTGATAATAGACTAATCAGAACAATAAATGAGATGCCAATGCATTTGTAAATTTTCTCAGACACAAGAATAACGCTTGTCTTAAGCTTGCCATGATCTTAAAGGTTTACCATTTAGAATTGTCTAATACATGTTTGCTGGTGTGTAATAAGAGATGTGCATAATGTTTCTCCATAGGTCTGACTTATCTGTTACATGAAATCAAATTCATTTCCTCACTCATCAATGGTCTTTGTCTCAATTGGCTTACCATGTCCATTTTCTCCACTCATTTTGCTTTCCTGGCATGTTTTGTTCGTAGCATCCTGTGCTGATATTATTGGAAGAGCCTATAAAGTTGTTTACACAAACTTCATATTTTCTGTTCTCGTTTTAAGAGTTTTGAGGAATTCTTGCATCTTACGTTTTCCCTCTTATTGGATACTAAAAGAACAGGGTGCCTTCTCCAGCTTATGTTGATTCAAATTTGACTTCCACTTGTAGGAAGTTTCAATGCTTTGAAGTCTATGGATGTGGCCATGAGTTATTGTTGGAGAAAACCAGAGAGGTAATTCTTGATTCAAGCTTCATTCTTAAACCAGCTGCTCTTTTAGTATTTGGTTGGCTATGTAGGAATTCATCCAAGACATGGAATGGTTGAGAAATTTGCATAGCAGGAATCTCAGTTTTTCGTACATGGATCAACAGACTTGAAAGAGGTTGTATGGTCTTGCCACAGCTTAAGATTGATGAAGTTAGTAGCCTTCTCTCCAAGGCTAGCACAATTACTTTGGGTCCAGAGGAAGAGTTGTTAACCGACTGTTGGACTTGCTTAAAGGTTGAGAAGCTAGATATGTTTGAACTAGATTCTATCAATTTGTGCAGAATCTAGTATTCAGATTTGAGGAAGAAAGCTGAAGTACCGTATGAGATATAGGTAGACATTCTTGAATTGTGAAAAAATCTGAGTTGGATAGATGTCATTTTGTGCTCCTAATGATCAGTATGGAGAAAGGTTTATCGAGCGCTCTCGTGTCTTAAATGGTAGGAAATACTAAGCTCCAAATGATCATTTTGTTCTCCTAGTGATCAGTAAAGAGAAAATGCTCAAATCTGAGCTGAATTTGAACCAATTCAATGACAAAAGGAAAGACTTGGTTGTGCCAAATGATCAAAGAGATTACACATTGTATAGAGGAAATGAATATCGAAAAATAGATAAAGCATCAATGATTTTCTTTCAATAGGGAATTTGATCAGTATAGTATACATTTCACAAAGGAATGTATCATAAGACAATGCAGCCGCTTGTTATGAAGAAATAAGAGCAAATTGCTCGATACCATATGAAGATAGGGGAAACCCAATTTTTTATAGGTTCAAAAACCAGACAAGATATGTGTTCTGGTGTAAACAAGTCAACGTGCTTGGGGCTGAAAATGATGGTAGAACTTTGTGGATGATTTATGCCTCTAAGAGTTAGCATTTTTTGACTAAGCTATGTACTTTGACTTGGTCTTTTAGTTCTCCTTAATGAGAACCATTCTTTGATATGGTCCACAATTTGGTACATATAAGGCCTGCAGAGTCTCCTTTGACCTAGACGTTGAGTCGAATGACGTAGCTGGTCACTCTCTCATGGAAAGCCATTCACATGGAGGTTCTGGTCTTCCATTTTCAACGTAATGCACTCTGTCTGTAAGCATTTAATTCAGTGTAAAAGCTTGGACAATGATTTGACTTTTCATAATCGAACAACTTAGCCAATGAAAATGGAAATTTGTGGTGTAACAGCGGAGAATGTGAAGAGAGAGAGAAGGAAATTGGTGTGTCTTTTCTAAGTTGAACAAAACCATGTGAAACGGCCTACTCAAATACCTAACCATCAGACTTCAATACCCCACTCTGCCATTTGAATACCATCGCTCACAGCACAACTCTTTTTTCCAAAACTCTATAAAAACTGAACATCAAATGATCCTTCAAACACCAAATTCAACTCAGTCCAAGTGTTGATTTCTCTTACAGGTTCTATACTAACCAGATCAAAGCTTTAGACCTTTCTAAGAGTCCTTCTCGAGAAAATGGGAATTCGATTGCTATCCTTGGTTCCTCATGCCAAGCAAATCCTAAAGATGCAGTCAGGTTTTACCAAAAGTCAGTTGGATGTGCCAAAAGGCCATGTGGCTGTTTATGTAGGAGAGATCCAAAGAAAGCGGTTCTTGGTTCCAATTTCTTACTTAAACCATCCGTTATTCCAAAAACTACTCAGCCATGCAGAGGAAGAGTTTGGCTTCCATCATCCACAGGGGAGTCTAACAATTCCTTGCAAGGAGGATGCCTTCATTGATCTCACCTCCAGATTGCAAGTATCTTGAAGGATGCAGAAGAAAGGACAATCATCTGCCGTTTTTGACAATTTTTTTTCCGACTCATTTACTTTTAGACACATACTAGATTGTTGTAGAGTGGGAAACCTTTCTACCTGTAAATGAGTTGCATTGTAAAGTTACTTATACCACAGGATTAATGAAAATAGACCAATTCAGCATAGACTTCTATATATCATTTCTTCTGGTGATCTATGATTCCTAATCTGTGCTTTTGGGTAGAGAGAAATCTTTTAATTTTTTAACTAAGGAATCATACTCAAAACCATCTAATACTTATGTATTTGATTGAGAACGCCGAAGAAGAGTTCAGATACAATCATTCTATTGGTGGTTTGACAATCCAGCAGAGGATATGCTTTTATCTCATTCAAGGCTGCATTGTTCTTGAATGATTATGACAAAAGAATTCCTCTGCCCACTCGCCCAGTTTTGCCCAACTTTTCTTTTTCTTTTTTCGTTAGTCGTAGAATACGACTAGATAGACAGTTCATGTAAATGAATAGAAAATTTTCCCATTGCATGTACATTATAACATGTATAAGCTATATTGACTGTGCGCTATAGCATAGCAGATGTTAAATTTTATCATTGATGAAGTTTGTCCACTCATGGATTTTGAGATATCTAAGTTTCTTGGGTGTTGTCGGATTTCTTGAAAGAAGACTGACTTCTTGTGAAATCCCACCTCGGTTAGGGAGGAGAATGAAACCCCCTTTATAAGGGAGTGAAAACCTTTCCCTAGTAGACGCATTTTAAAAACTTTGAGGGAAAACCCAAAAGAGAAAGCCCAAAGAGGATAATATCTGCTAGCAATGGGCTTGGGCTGTTACACTTCTCCTACTCCCCCTTCTCCTTTAGGATAGGATCATCGTTGGTCCTTCTTTCGCCAATGATCTAATGAGATCACCATTTGATAGTGGTCCGTGCAAATACACGAGGGATGAGACTTTCTATCGCTTGCTTTTCACTGTTACATGACGCTTAAGTGAAGAAAGCTCATCATGTCATTAAATAAGATTATTTGGAAAATCTTGATTCCAAGCTTCGATCATTGATGTGAAAGAAGCAAAAGATCCACTTCCGCCAAGAAAGGAGAGATTTGTAAATATTCAGTTTAAAAAGTACATAGAACTTTCGTCTGAATTTCCTCCAACAATCAGGATTTGACACAATAAGGAACTAAAAATATGGTAGTGGGAACATCATAATTCTATCCAACATCTTTCCCTCACCAATGCACAGCTAGTTCCAGCTATAGAAGTTGTTTGAAGTGGATGAAACTACTACATTAAACAAATATAAACATGATTAGATTCTTATTAAATGATTTGTCTTGAAGTACTAGGTGTACATGTACTTAGCTTCTGTATCCTTTGATTTACAATAAGATGCATTTGATATCTCTCTTGTCCTTATTCAACAAGGGCACTATGCCAATGATGTAATCATTTCTCTCTTACTGTGAACGTGATCTCCTTGATATCTTGTTTTTTTCTTTATTCGAGCATCCAGTTCAGCTAACCAAGCTTGGTCGCTGGAATGGATAATGACTTGAACCAAACAACTGGGCTGGCATTGCATACAACCAAGAGAGAGGTGAAAAATCTTTTATAAGTTGGGAAGATCCCTAATAGTCTTCTTAGATACCTAACCGCCAGTCTTAAAGTGCCCATTGGAAAAGCACCAAACACCAGCAAAACCATTTTCTTGAACTATAAATAAGGATATCAAGTAAACTTCAAAACAGTCATTTACTACTTCCTCTTCAAATTTGTTCCACATCAATTGAAACAGCAAGCTCAGTAATGGGAATCTTTCCATTCCAGATTCTTTTTGTCAAGCAAATTCTAAAAATGCCATCAGGTTTCACCAAAAACCAGTATGTCCCGAAAGGTCATGTAGCAGTTTACGTGGGAGAGAGGCAAAGGAAACGATTTGTGGTTCCAATATCATACTTGAATCATCCTTCATTCCAACAGCTCCTTAAATATGCCGAGGAAGAGTTTGGTTTCCAACATCCTCAAGGGGGTCTCACAATTCCTTGCAAGGAGGATGCCTTCATTGATCTCACTTCTAGATTGCAAGTTTTCTAGAGAGTGAAGAGCAAAAGGGCAAGTACAAAGTTATTTGAATCTATTGTTGCTCGACTCATTTGTGAACTAATACTAAAATGTTTTAGGAAGTCCAAGAGCAATGCCTTCTAGAATGTGAATGAATGAAATTATGTTGAGCTTTAAACTAATATGTGAGTAATAGAAATGCTGATACTGATAATCAACTCTATCTCGTGGCTGCTAAACATTTTCTTATAAGATGGGGCAAAGCCATGTGAAGGACCAATGAGCCTGAAATTAGTGGTATGAATTTCAGAGAAAATTGGGTGCCTTTTTATGAAATGGGGCAAAGCCATGTGAAGGGGGTATTCTCAATACCAAACTACCAGACATCAGTACCCCACTTGGGCACTGGAATGGTCGGAGTCATCAGCATAGCATTTCCTTCTGAAATATTATAAATATAAACATCAAAATGAGCCTTCAAACACCACCCTCAACTCATTTCAACTTCTACTTCCTCTTCTAGTTAGCTCTATACCAATCAGATCAGAACATTATTCCGACTGCCTTTCGTTTGAGAAAATGGGGATTCGGTTGCTATCTTTGGTTCCTCATGCCAAGCAAATTCTAAAGATGCAGTCAAGTTTTACCAAAAACCAGTTGGACGTTCCAAAAGGTCATGTGGCTGTTTATGTAGGAGAGATCCAACGGAAGCGGTTCGTGGTTCCGATATCTTACCTAAACCATCCATCGTTCCAGAAACTGCTCAGCCACGCCGAGGAGGAGTTTGGCTTCCATCATCCACAAGGGGGCCTAACAATTCCTTGCAGAGAAGATGCCTTCGTTGATCTCACTTCTAGATTGCAAGTTTCTTGAAGGATCAACAGCAAAGCACAAGCTTCAATTTTTTACAAACATTTCTGTTTGTTTCTGACTCATTTGTTTTTTTTGAATCATACTAGAATGTTGTAGAATGACATGCCCTTCTTGCCTGCAAATGAGTGGCATTGTAATGGTGCATTTACCAACAGAAATGAATAAGAAAAAATACACAAATTTAACATCAATTTCTATATAGCCTTTTCTTTGTTGCTTTATTTGTGATGGTAACCTGCAATCCATGGAACAAAGAAAAATTGTTGCTAGAGCATAGCACATCACTAAAGAAACTAAGCAGCATCTTGAAGATTCAAACTTCTAAGTTCAAACAGATCCAAAGCAAACTGAATCCAAAGTAGGTTCCTTTGAATTTCTCTAACATAGTGATAAGATAAGGAATCACTACAAGGGGAGTAAGATTCAGATTACCTTGTTGATCGAATATCTCAAGTCAAGAACACTTTGTTTGAGATTCGAATCACTCCAGAAGCAAGATCGATCATGTCTAGCTTCAATGATTCTTGTTGATCAAATATCTCAAACACTTGTTTGAGATTCGAATCACTCCACAAGCAAGATTGATCATGTCGAGCTTGAATGATTCTACATGCAATCTAAACTACATAGAATTGCAAAGAAAATTAGCCATTGGCTAAAGAAAAGCACAAATGCTTCTTTTGATATATCTTCTAAGTCTCTCTTACAAATACAACATACATGGCTTTATATAGCCTCAAAATGAAACTATTAAAGGCATTCCAAAAGTTGTAACATTCACACTTTATGGCCATAATTAGCCATTATGTAAATGTAACCGAAATTAAATAAAAAGTCTTAAAACACAATAACTCTAAATTATAACCCACCCAAAATTTACAACAATCAAACTTTATTCTTCTTCAATGTAGCATGAATTGAAACATCTTTTTGATAATTTTGACAACCTTTTCTTCACATCTTCATTGAAGTATATTGTATGATTGATGTCTCTTGGTTCATATCATTCTCCACTTCTTCAAGAGGATTCGTCCTCGAATCTATTTGTGAAACTTTGCTGCAAAAAATAAGTTATGGAAATACAAAGGACCTCACAACACTCTCTCACGTGTATACACTCAAGGAATTTTAGGCCACTCTGTTTGCACTCATTTACACAAATGAAGCTCTCATTCTCACCTCTCAAAATTTTAAATAGAGCAAAGATTGAATTTTGAACTTTGGGTCGATTAAAAACTAAAAAGATGAAAATAAATAAAAATTAAATTGAGAAGAAACGCAAAGGAAACATATATCCGATCTTGAGCCTGAAGCTCTGATACCAAATGATAAGATAAGGAATCACTACAAGGGGAGTAAGATTCAGATTACCTTGTTGATCGAATATCTCAAGTCAAGAACACTTTGTTTGAGATTCGAATCACTCCAGAAGCAAGATCGATCATGTCTAGCTTCAATGATTCTTGTTGATCAAATATCTCAAACACTTGTTTGAGATTCGAATCACTCCACAAGCAAGATTGATCATGTCGAGCTTGAATGATTCTACATGCAATCTAAACTACATAGAATTGCAAAGAAAATTAGCCATTGGCTAAAGAAAAGCACAAATGCTTCTTTTGATATATCTTCTAAGTCTCTCTTACAAATACAACATAGATGGCTTTATATAGCCTCAAAATGAAACTATTAAAGGCATTCCAAAAGTTGTAACATTCCTACTTTATGGCCATAATTAGCCATTATGTAAATGTAACCGAAATTAAATAACAAGTCTTAAAATACAATAACTCTAAATTACTCTAAATTGTAACCCACCCAAAATTTACAACAATCAAACTTCATTCTTCTTCAATGTAGCATGAATTGAAACATCTTTTTGATAATTTTGACAACCTTTTCTTCACATCTTCATTGAAGTATATTGTATGATTGATGTCTCTTGGTTCATATCACATAGACTGCAATACGACCCTTCGGAACATTAGATTGGTTTCTTGTAGAAATAGCTTGCTTTTTGAGAAATCCAAAACAGGTTCTTAAAAAGCAAGCTATTTCTACAAGAAACCAATATGATGTTTCGAAGGGTCACGTTGCAGTCTATGTTGGAGAAATCCAAAGAAAGAGGTTTTTAATTCCGATATCATACTTAAAACCATCCTACATTCATGGCTTTACTTAAGAGGGCTGAGGAAGAGTTTGAATACAATCATCCTATGGCCGGCTTGACAATCCCCTACAGAGAAGATGTCTTCATTGATCTCACTTCTAGGTTACATAGTTTGAAAGATTATGCACGAATAGAAATCCCCAAGATTCTTTTGTTCATTTTTAGTTAGAAAAACTCTTATTGAATCTGAAGGGATAGAAAAGGTGGTTAATTACCCCCAATTGACACAATACCGAGCCAGAGCAGTCAACAAAGGAAGAATCTTTGTTTCCAGCTTCACATCCTAGTGCCCACCGGATGATGAAGATATGCCGACATTTGCTCTTTGGTAGCCTATTTCGAGTTGGTGATTGTAAGATCAAGCACGGATCAGAAAGCCTCAATTTGCCCATCTTCCTGAACATTATAGCATGTATAAAATTGTGTTGGCACAACTATAAAATTATATTTCTTTCACCGATAAACTTTATCCCTTTAATTCATGAATTATGAGATATAAGTTCTGTGTATTTTCTCATTTTATCATGCAACAAGACATTTGACAAAACTCAAGCACAGAGCATTTATCATAAAAATGAAGGAAGATTTCTATTTCCATCTAATCCTCAAGAAAGAAGCAACTGATTAGCCAAGTTAGAAAATGTAAAACTAACTAAGAGGATGTTTGAAGATGAGAATTTTTCTTGGATCAACCGTTTTGAATTAGCTCATTTTAAGGCGTCTTTTTGCTGTTCTTTATCTGATCCCTTTACTGGATTTTCCTTATGAGACATGTTTGAATTGGATTGGAATGCTTTCTATGGTTCTTTTATACTCTTTTTCCTCTCGAGAGCTTGTGTCTTTTGAGCATTAGTCTCTTTTCTTCAATGATCTTTTATTTCTATGAAAAAAAAAATGTACCAACGTCCGACTAAACATCAAGGAAAGACTGAGAGTTTAAACAAACTGAAACTCAGAGGCCGAAGGAGGCAGTTTTTTATAAGAAAATGTGACTCCATTTCTATTTACATCTCTGCAATTATAAATTGTACATTGATGTTGAATCAACTTTTGCTTCTTCATCAAATTGGTACTAACTATGTATTGACATTCTACTCCTCAACTGTGGCAAAAAGAAGAAAAAAATGAAAGGAATTCTACAAAACTATGTGTAGGATTGTTTTTCCTCTCTTTCAGGGAGTATGCAGCCTAGAAGTGAGGTTGAGGAAGGCATCTTCTCTGCAAGGAATGGTTAAACCTCCTGTTGGATGTTTAAATCCAAATTCTTCTTCAGCTGTCTTGAGTAGAGCTACGAAAGAAGGATGGTTCAAGTATGATATCAGAACTACAAACCGCTTCCTTTCGGTCTCCCCCACATAGACTGCAATATGACCCTTTGGAACACCACATTGGCTTCTTGAAGAAACCGTCTGCATTCTTACAATTTGCTTAGCATTAAGGAGAAGTGAAGGTAGTCTGATTCCCATGTCTGTATTTGATTTCAGGATGAGAGGATTTAAACTGGATTTGAATCTTGATGTTGCAAAGTATGGATAAGGATCGATAAGAAATTTGAGTTGGAGTTTGAAGATTATTTGGTCTGTATATATGGATTCAGAAGGAGAAAGGGTGAGAAGAAAGGACGTTGAGTCGGTGTCGAAAGGACCTACTTCATTAATGGCTCACATGGAGTGTCCATTGGTTGGAGAACATTCACTTCATGTGTTGCTGCTGCTGGTGCTCTGGGCCCTATTGATCTAAAACAAGATATCCAAGGGAAAATCCAAAACCAAATGCCATATACAGCTAAATTAACTTAACACTCAGTTTGTAAATAAGATACTGTCCCACACACAACGAAAAGAACTGTCTCAAACATGTCTCAAACTCATGTGCTCTATCATCAGCAATCTTTTCTAGGTTTGCCCCTCTCTGTTTCTCCACTCATCTTATTTTCTTGATGGTTTTATCCTTAGCATCTCATGCTGATATTATATATACAGCCGTAGACATTGAATCTACAAGCAGTTGGTTGGGCTTAACAGTCATAAGATTCATCCACAGCAGATGGAATCAACATTGTATTGGCTGAAAGGAGCCGGATGACTGCTGTAATGACCATATTTTGAAAAATATTAGAACGAAGTATTTCAATCTGCAGATAGTTTATACAGACAAAAGCATTAGATATTTTCCTCTACGTTCTGATCCTTATGTTGACAGAGATGGAAAACGTACATCTCTGGTCATGGTTGCTGAAAATCTCAGCTTATTATGACATAGAGGGTATGAAGTCAATCTCCATTTGTACATTTCAAGATTTGGTTAGTGTCAACTCCACATGCATTTTGTTCTACGAACAGAATGCGGTTGTGTTTACGGGATTTGGACATCTTTAAATACAAAGTTTGTCTTTCTGTTCAATTTTGAACATGTACGCAAAAAAAATATCCACTTTTGCAGTTCAGACAGCAATAAACAGACAGAGTATCAAAGAATAAGTGAGAGAAACAGGAAATGATACTGTGAGTCTAGTAAGTGTTGGTAATAAATTAACCAGCAAAGGAACTCATTTCCATTCCAAAAGGCTTGACATTGTCTTTCTACACAACAATCTTCCAGGAGTTGGAAGAAACAAACACGCTAGGAGGAAAAATGTGTAAAAACTGGTTGATGCCTATTCCATTATCTTCAGCCCACAGGAGTGTTGTAATCTAGAAGTAAGATCAATGAATGCATCCTCTTTGCAAGGAATTGTTAGACCTCCAAGTTCATGATGGTGACCGAACTCTTCTACTCGGTTGAGTAGCTGTTGGAATGAAGGATTGTTCATATATGAAACAAGAACCACAAATCGCTTTCGTTCTTTGGATCCTTCCCACATACTGCAACATAACCACTAGGAACATGATTTTGTCAGGTCAAACAAAATTTCTATTTCCATCCCATCCTTTCTCTTGCATCCCATTTGTGTTTGATATGCAACTTGCTAAATCATAGACCTACATGTAGTTAAATTCCCAAACAACACCGTGCTTGTTCCAATGGAATAAAGCATCAAAACAGATGGCTTTGTAAGGAAAAGTTAAAAATAATCCAACATATCCTTGTGATTGGACCTCCTTGCAAGAGGAAATTGCTTCATCATTGGCCCCA